TTTTCATATGTCTTGCACACTCATTCACCTTCATTAATTGAAGTACTGCCTGAATACATGATCTTCTCACTCTTCTAATGGTATATTAACACATTCAAGCTCATCTTGACTTTTGCAGCACTTATTAGCTTCTTTGAGCAAGTCAAGTGCCCTTAGTAACTATAGATTTTTGGATAGGGGGATGGGTGATTGTTCAAGTTATCAGTCTTTTAATCCATTTACTGTAAAGACTGAGGAATATACTTCAGATACTGCATCTCATGTTGGGGATTTTGATATACTGGAAAAATTTAAAGGGAAGAGACCAAAAGAAGAATACGATGATGAACGAAGCAACTTGAAGAAAGCAAAAGAAGAGTTTGATACAGTCTCAAGTAGTTCTGTTGGCCCAACCTGGCTAGGAGCAAGAAATGGAAAGTCTTCGTTGACCAGTCTTTGGATGCCAGACTCTCAGAGACGTGTTGGCCACAATGCAGGATGGCTGGACAAACAAGGAATGCCCCAAAGGTCTATGCCCGAGTGCAGGGTTCTTGATAATATGGTGGCTAAACCTCCTTATTTCTTCTATGGAAATATCACAAATTTATCTCAGGACTCTTGGGTAAAAGTATCACAGTTTCTGTACTCTGTTCAGCCAGAATTTATCAACCCTCAGTTCTTCTCGGCCTTAATTAGGAAGGAAGGCTATGTTCATAATCTCCCTACTGAAGATAGGTTTCACATTCATCCAAAGCCACCAATGACCATTCAAGAAGCCTTGCCACATACTGGAAAATGGTGGCCGTCGTGGGATGCAAGGAAGCAGTTGAGCTGCATCAGTTCTGAAACTAAAGGAATCCCTCAACTGTGTGATAGGCTTGGAAGAATGCTCACTGATTCAAGAGGATTTCTGACAGCTGAGCAGCAGAAAGAACTCCTCCATCAGTGCCGGACCCTGAATCTTATGTGGGTTGGCCAACACAAACTGGCACCGCTTGAACCTGAACATCTAGAGCGTATTATGGGCTATCCAGTGCGTCATACGCAGGTTGCTGGGTTTAGCTCGACGGAAAGACTTGAATCCCTTAAACATTCTTTTCAGACTGACACATTAGCATACCACCTATCTGTTCTTAGATCCTTGTTCCCAGAAGGATTGACAGTGTTGTCAATTTATAGTGGAATTGGTGGTGTAGAAATTTCTTTAAACCGTATTGGCATTCGTTTGAAGGGCGTTGTTTCTGTGGAACCCTGTGAAGCAAAGCGGAGGATTGTCAAACAATGGTGGGACAATTCTGGACAGATTGGAGAGTTGGTGCAGATTGAAAGCATCCAGAGCCTATCAAGTAACAAGCTTGAAGCTTTGATAAAAAAGTTCAGTGGATTCGATTTTGTTATATGTCAGAATCCGTACACGGCAGCAACTGGTGATAACATGGTAGGTTTAGATTTTTCAATGTTCGTCGAGTTTGTACGTGTCTTGCAGCGTGTGAGGACTACAACGGACAGGCGCAGGTGACTTTCGTCCTCTCCAACATGCTTCTCCTTGTAGGTCTTTAATTAGTTTTTGTATCTGAATTTGATAATGACTTATGATCTCCAATCTAAGAATGTGAAGATAAGCTAGTAAACTATATTAATTCCATGGCGTTTTCTACATTAGAGTAGTATTTAGGAAGGTGTTGTTTACAAGTTGTTGAGGAGATTCGAACGTTATCCTAAAAATAGGCTTAGAATCAATTTTTTAATCGTTAGAGAGAGAACTGAGTCTTATTTGTAAGTGAAGAAATCAAAAATGACGGTTGACCATATTAAGTAACAGTCAAAAAATTGATTTCTTGAATTGAAAAATCATAATCAAACAGGGACTAAATAAGTATTAAAATGGTCAAGGATTACTTTTCTCTCCCACTCAACATTTTCTGCTTGAAATAGTGAATGCAAAGTTTAAAATGTACCAATGTTCTTACTCAAGATGGTATTTTTTTGTGTGTCTAAAGTTAAATCTTTTCAACATTTCTCATTATCTGTTTTTATTGCCAAATTCTCATTTTTTTAATTAAAATTTTGCTTAATACGACGTCATTTTTTGGAATGATAGTATGGAGTCGATTATCGTAACAAGACCAGATACATGGTTGGCCGACTAGCACGATGGTATAACTGAAACGAGTTTAACATTCAGTAGAGTAGATGAAACAATTCAAAGTTCAGTATTAACTGCCTAAGTGACATTAAAAGTGAAGTTTAGTAGCGATTGATATAATTAAGGTTAGCCAAACGAATAAAAGAAAGGAAGAATTATAGTTGAGGTCCTAAATCTTACAAATTGTTGTCGATTATGCGCAAACTTTTTATTTTTGCGTCCATTTTCTCAAAACGTTCATCTCGACTACAACTGGAGGACAAATGGATGGATTCCTTCATTTGACCGTTATCAACCCAAAAAAAAATCAACTTGACCATATTTTGGCCAAATTTAAAAGAACAAAATTGTACTTTCATATTTTTTCAATAAAATATCGTGAAAAAGTCAATAAACACTCGTAATAAATAGAATACCGAAATATATAATGTTTAATTAAACGTGCTCCCCAGTCCAATTATACATGTGAATATAAATTTTCTTTCGCGTCAAAAAAAAAAAAAAAGAACAAATTACATATTTTTTTCATTGTGTATAAGCTGTAATGGTTGACATTTTCCTCCATATATGAGTTTTGAGGTCCAATTTTTAAAATGGCAGACAAAGAATATTGTTCAATGGCCTGAATTTCTACATTTCAATATTCTCCACTTTCAAGATTTTTTTCCCTTTATTTTTTTCGCTTTTTTTATAACTCTTCGTGCATTGCGAGTTTTTATCTCCTTTCATCTGTGTAAAGATATATTTAAATAGGTTTATCCAATCTTAATTATTTTTTTTAATCTGATTTGTAGTGGGTTGCTAGCTTTATCTCATTTCATCCGTGTAGAGGTAAGAAAATAAGCAAAAATAAGTTCTTGTGGTCCCAAAAACGAAAATAGCATAAATAAAAAGTATCGATATCCGAAGGTTACACTTACGAAAATTTGAAATTTTACAAAATACTTCCAAGTCTTTAACAAAATGAAATCAACATTCACACGAGAGAACAGGTTAACAGTATTGAAATCTGTAAGATCATTTCTAGACAACGATCTAGAATTTTTAGACGATTCATCACTACTTTACAGTTTTCCTTTTATTCATCACCGTTATGTATTCACATCCTAGTAATATGACATTGACTTATGATGTTTTTCCTTGAGCACATGTTAGCCATACACATGAATTGATTGAGAGATAATTGAAATTACATTAACGGTTAAATTAGGCATCCACTTTCAGTGATGAATATTTATGAAAAGAAGGTTACTGTCTCGAAATTATTTGGGTCGATATACGACTTTCAAATCAAGATTTGAACTAGTGAATATTGTCAAAGGGAGTATTAACGCCATACAAATATGGAAAGAGAAAATGACATTCTGAAATATAGTTTTTGTACATTTCCATTAATCCATAAATATTATTTTATTCTCGATTGAGCATCCTTTCTTGTCAAATAATTTCACTTTTAGAAAAATTTCAACCATAAATCTTTTTTTTTAAAAATAAAATCTGCTCATATATTTCGTTGTCGGTCTCAAGTGGAAGTGATGAGGAGATTTACACAACCCTGATAGGATAAAGCTGTGTATACACCTTATGATGTACACACAGCTTTACACCCCCCTCACATGGAGGCGAGGTCATGAATATTTTATTACATGTGGGCCTCTCTTCATGTGAGAGGGATGTAAGACTGTGTGTACATCATTGTGTACACACAGCACAACCCTGACGGGAATGCTAATATCAACCAACGGAATGAGAGAGAAGTGATCAAGTAGTTTATTGCCAATAAGTGAGTGAATTACTCAAATTGTCACTGAACTTTGTAAAATATTTTTATGTGGTCATTAAACTTTAAAAATCATCCAATTCATTACTGAATTTTGCAAAAGGTTGAGATTGCTGAACTTTAAAATCACAAAATTTATCACTGAACTTTGCAAAAGATTTCTAAGGGTTCACTAGCAAAAGGTTGAGATCGTTGAATTTTAAAATCACAAAATTCATCGCTGAACTTTGCAAAAGATTTTCCAGGAGTTACTAAATTTAGTGACCTCCTAGGAAACCTTTAACAAAGTTTAGTGATCTCGTGAAAACCTTTTCAAAATTCAGTGATGAATTTGATGATTTTTAAATTTCAACGACCTTGTAGAAATTTTTTGCAAAGTTCAATGACCATTTGGGTAATTCACTCCAATAAGCCCTTGTGTTGGTAAGGGATTAAAATTATATTTTTAGTAGATTTTAATAAAAGTTTTTGAAATATATGGTTAAAACTAATTATTTGACTTTGACTTAGATTAAAATATGAACAATATTTGACATATTTGATGAAGTGAATCAAAAAATATGAACAATATTAAAAAACAAAGTAAAATTTTAAACGCAATACTATTTAATCTTATTTAACTTGACGTACCGAACCCCTGTTTGGGCTTTATTTTTTCTCTTTCTTATTTTCAATTGTACATTCTTCAATAAAATAATGTTACACATAAATCCAAAATTTTTCTTTATTTCTTAACTACATTCTCCAAAAAAATCAATATCTCAAAATTTATTTTTCTCCAAAATTTATTTTTAATGGAATCCAAATAGGAGCCAATTATGCAGTTTTAATCATCCTATCTTTGAAAGGAAAGGCTTGAGTTGAAGAACATGTAGACCACACAGTGTTGTTTATCTATATGTGGTATTTGATTTCACATGGTGGGTTGCCAATAGTTGTCCTTTTTCATTGATGCAATTCAAACCATAGTTTGGTGCATTCAAACTTCATCAAAATGTGGGGTCAATTTTTGACTGTATTCCTAGTAATTGTGAGCAAAGAAAATGCAGGGCCCCTCTCCAATTATTCTATATTATGTGGTTCACTTTCCTGCTCCATAGTCCCCAATTTTCTGTCATTTCTATTGTCTAATTCTTCGCCATCTTTCTCTGTTTTTTCGAAGCCTTCGTGTCTAAATGCACGTATTTAATTTATTCGGAGTCGACCCTTCTTGGGCTACCGAGGAACGCAAAATGTTCACTTCACCCATATACGTTTACCAAGAACTAAACCAGAACCTTGTCTTGATTCTTGAAATTCATTGCATTATGTCTGTCTTTTAGGCGTATAGAATTTCTCTTGGAGTTTTTTGTGCATTTGGATTCTTTTTTTCATGGAAGGAGTTGAGAGGATCATCCCCCATTTTTTTAGGTGCCCCATAAGTCTAGACTTGTTCAAAGATCCAGTAATCCTATGCACAGGCCAGACGTACGAGCGGTCGAGCATTGAAAAATGGCTATCTACTGGTAACCTAATATGTCCTGTGACAATGCAGAAGCTCCATGATCCTTCTGTTGTTCCGAACCACACTCTTCGCCATTTGATCGAGGAGTGGCTTCAATCTGGTAACCAGGTCGAGTCTGATCACCTCAAAATGATCGACAATGATCATTCTATAGCTGCAGTCAAGCACATTCTAGAGTCCAGTGAATCCAAGTTGGATCATAAGCTTCAAATGCTAGAAAAAATCCAAGCTTTATCCGAAGAACTACCGTTGCAGAATTCGTTGTTGATTCAATTAGATTTCTTCAAGTTACTCTTGGAACTAGTTTTCAGAAATGCAGAAGGTTCAAATTTCCAAGAAGATTTGAGGTTTGTGGAGAAAGCACTTATTTGTGCTATGAACTTATTGCCCTTCAGTGAATTGGGGTGTCTAAACATTCTCGAAGAGGAAGCCAAGTTATCCCAATTCATTTTTCTACTTGAAAAAGGCAGTATCATTATCAAGAAATGCTTATGCCATATGGTGGAGGCAATTTCATCAAATCTAGAGACTCAACAACTTTGTTCTACACTAGGAAAATCAGACAAACTTTTGCAAGAAATAATTCATCTTCTTCACAACAACTCTAATGCTGTTGAAGATGGAATCAAAGCCATATCAGCATTAGCCTTACTGGAGTTGAATCGAGAGAATTTGGTTAAACAAGGTGCAATTCAAGGGCTCATAACATACATTTTCAACGCAAAGAAGCAAGAAAAAAGCTTGGCACCAATGGCAATGGGAACAATTCTGAAACTGCTTTTATCAGTAGAAAGTGCAAAACAGGCAGTAATCAATCACCCTTTAGGCATTGATGCAATTGTCAAAATGGTTTTCAGAGTTTCATCACATCATGAAGGGAGCGAAAGTGCAGTAAATTCATTACTGATTATTTGTTTTGAATCAAGAAGTGTTGGGGAAGAAGCCATTTGTGCTGGAGTTTTAACTCAGTTGTTATTGCTGCTTCAAAGCCAGTGCAGTGGGAGGACTAAAACTAAGGCACGAATGTTGCTCAAATTACTTGGACCCATGTGGACTGAGAATCCAAAGGTTTCATTTTAGTTCATAAATTCAACGGACTATTAAAGACATATATGGAAGAATCGTAAAAGATTGTTATCCTTTCAAGAATTATGTAGTCCTCAAATGTATGGTCCTTTCCTAAACGAACCATATTGTAAAATCCCATAGTTCGTTGTTTTTTCTTAGTGAATTCAAATCAAGTTCTTGATATGTATATTAACTTTTGCCTCATATATGGTGCTGTGTATAGACGATGATGTAATGTTTTCGTTTAAGCCTTTGTTAACCATTCTATTATATTATTTTTTTTCTACAGTACTCATTTTCAACAACACGTTCTTCATTAAAATAATATTACACATAAATAAATAAATAATTCTTCTTTATTAACCACACATTTCAACATCAATTACTATTCCATAATACACTTTTTGAAATTAAAAGGGCACAAACAGGCCCTAAAATGTTAAGACTCGAAACACACTTATTTATTTAAATTATGTTATCAAGACGTTACCTCACATGTAAGCTAGAATTATGTTATCCAATAGCCGTGTTGCCTTCCTCTGTTGTACGGACACTTCAACTAGGATAGTGTGCTGTATAAAACATTTCTCAGATATCAACTCTGTTCGAAACTATACCATGATCATTTTTTTACTAGAAATATTTTATATTTTTAACTGAACTTATTAGTAAATAACAAATATGCACTCATTCAGAAGATTTCAACAAGAAAAATTAATAAATATAAAACAAAATATATTATATAAATAAAGAATTTAATCAAGGTGTCGACGACGTGTCGTATCAGTACTTTTTTGAACAATCGTGTGTTACCATATCTGATAAATGTCATATCGGACACACATGTCAATCCATCATAGTTGCCTTCACATAAAATCCCTTTTGGTTTTAATTCACTTGCCATGTGCTTAAAATTGGAATGGGGAGTGAAGAAGAAACACAAAAGTTTCATTGTGGTTTAATCCTTGTTGTCGACGAAGAAGGATAATAGACAAGTACTTCATATGCACGTCTCTCTTCTTTAATCTTATCTAATATATTTAACGATGTGATAACTAGTATACTAAATTAGATTGTATTAAATTGACAAATCCCAAAAGATTGTCCCAATTCAAGAAAATGGTGACTTGCGAGGTTGAATTAGGTTCATAGGCTTATCTTATAGTTTGGCTTTTACTTAAAAAGTGGGGGCACTTTTGTCATTAATGCACCATGCCAAACACAAAAAGAGTAGGGGTTTACATGACTATTATTATGTTAGTGAAAAAAAATCAAATGTCATAATTAAGGACATACTTGGACAAAACAACATGATGCATAAGTTCTTTTTTTAAGTAAACAATTTTTGTATTAGTCAAAGTTGAAAATTTAAATAAGTTTTTACGTAAAAAGTAGGTTATCTAAAGATACCTGAAATAAATAATTATTTAAAGGTAATTATCAATTTTGAATTAGACTACACGATAAATTGAATATAATCAATATTATAAACTTATCGTTACTTTTATGTCCTGGACAATCCGCATGTGATAATGGTCAAAACAAGAGTCGTGATTTAGCGTATTCGTTAACATTTTGGAGCTTTTGTATAACTTTAATCCAGATAAATTTGTAAATCGTGTTGTACCTAAAAACAGTAGTAACAACTTAAAAGATAATGAATCAAAGATTCAAAATCCAATTGATTGTAACAAATTGCTTTTGAAAGCGCGTCTAGTTTTGACAATTACTAGTGGATGTTGGGTGAGTTTCAAGTTTAACTATTTATGTTGACAGCCTAACTTGGCACTTAGGCGCCACCGTATTTGATTGCAATAAATCACTTGATCACGTGCATGTGCATATATAATTGATTCATAAATGTTTGTAAATCATGAATCTGATTTGCATGTGATGGAGTAGGTTAAAGACCACAAAACATAAATTTATATAGTCTATATGTCTGCAACACGCATTCTCATACATAAACCTAGTCTATTTTAATTAAATAGTCAGGACTCGTTTGGTATAACTTTTGAAAAGTCAAAATGAATTTTTGAGATCCAGAAGTTATTTTCTGACCCGTTTAATTAATTTTATGAAAGCGCTTCTTTTAATTCGAAGGCTTTTAGAGTAAAATAGGCAAATGCGACTTCATCTAAAAGTACTTTTGAGATAAAACTCTCTTTTAAAAATTAGTTTTCAAACACAAATAAAGTTGACTTCCTCTAAAAACTCTCTACCAGAAAGTAAAAAGCAAAGTCATGTCAAATGAGTCTTAATATATGCACAGTTTTCATTGGTAGCGACGAGATTTGAGACCCAAATATTATGTTTTGATGATTTTTAACAATTTAAACTTTTAGATGAAACGATTTAACATCAAACGAATAGAAAAGAACTTTTAGACGCCTACATAACACGAAAGACAACACAAATTTTTCTTTGAAAAGTAATCATCGTTGATTCACTTAATAAGCACGTTTGTCTTAACTATTGAAACTTTAATGTGAATTTGTCTTTTAACTATTGAAACTTTAATGCTAAGTTCCCCAATTTTAGGTGTCATAATATATCTACAATAAATTTTGATTGTCATGATCAAATAAAGACAAATCACAAATCAAAGTTCAAACTTCATCTAGATAAATCTGCAAGTAGTACAACATGTACACATATTTTGTTAAGTTAAAATGTAAACATAGTAACATTGCAAATAACTAATACAGATAAAAAGTCAATTAAAATTAATATTTTGATCTTTATTTTATTATTACAGTCGTCATTTTTGAATTCTTCTCTCACAGATAAGACCCACTTTATCTTCAACGATAAAAAAATCAATTAATAAAATCTCTACTAAACAAGCACTAAACTTCTTGTACATATTTTTTTTCACATTTGTTAACAGATGTGGTGGTGAAATGCATTTGGTCCTTGATTTGAATAAGTAAAATTCAATTCAAGAGCCAAAATGCATGCCAATTCAGGATCTATCAAAACAATATGTGAAAAAAATATACAAGTAGCATGATTTTGTTAAGATTTGGTGTCCATCTTAAAAAGGTCAACATTGTTAAGAGGAGTTTGTGAGATTTTTATCCCTTAAAATGCCCTCGTAAGATGGTAGTTCGTTTGAGCAGATCAATCTTACAATCCGTTGCTCATTAATTGAGACTTATAATCAGATCGAATGGCTTGTTGGAGTTTAATGGGATCCGATACCATGTTAAAACTTGGGGTCCATCTTAATAAGGTCAACATTTTTAAGTGGAGAGACCCAATATCTTTATAAATTGGTATTTATTTCGGTATTAAATCGATGTGGGATAACACATCCCTTAACAGGTCTCCTCAAGATAGTGGCTCATTTGAGCAGACCAATCTTGAAATTCATGGGGTGGCTCTGATGCTATGTTAGCACTTGGGGTCCATCTTAATAAAGTTAACTTTGTTAAGTGAAGAAGTCTATGATCTTTTTAAGTTGATCAATATTTAAATATTAAATCGATGTAAAATTTTTATCCCTTAACAGATTCTTGCAAATACGTCATAAAAATTGTGATGGTTGGAGGATTATTGTGAGAGTTTTTTATCATATGAATAGAAATAGAGGAAAAAGTGACTCGCGGTCGAGAAAGAAAGAGATTTTTATATAGTTAAACGTACCAAGCACAAGCAATTGGACAAAAATTCAAGGTTATGCTTCGCATTACTTTTATAGCTCATTGTATATGCCAGTAACTAGAAGTTGATTATTAGTTAATGAAAGTTAAAATTTTACAGCCATACAGATTGAAAAAAGTGTTGTATTTGTGATAAAGCAATACACGTGAAATGTCTTTTTTAAATTTACACTCTTACACAGTCACGCGGCTCTCCCAATTCCATAGGCAAAAAGACCTACCTTAACCCAAATCTTTCCCCAGATTTCCCCCAAATCTCCGCATGTTTTTCCGATTTCCAATCACACTTTCCAATTTCCAACAGAAGCACAAGTGTTATTTAAGAATCGTTTGAATAATGGTTGATTTGTAAAAACAGATTTATAAAGTTTGCAAAAATTAAAAGAACACGAGACAAAGCGATATGTTTTTGCCCTAGAATAGGGCCCGGATGTTCAATCGTTAGACTTAGTCACCCGTTGAACATCTATCACGAGATTGTGCTCAAGATCCACTAATATCAACCAAGAATTAGTACAAATGTTCGATTTCTTCGATATTTCTCTAGCCTCTCTATTTATAAGATTCATAACCTACACACGTTACAATTTCAAATATTGCACTAAGCACTCACTGATTCACAAAGAAAAAGAGATTGCACTTCACAAAGAATGATTACAGAACTTTTCAAGTAAAAACTCTAGCACTTAGAAGACGAAGACGGAAGACCCCAGAAGTCTCACTCACACTGAGTCAAAGAAAAGGCGTGACCAAGTATATAAATGTCCAGTCCAAAGGTCATGATTCAAGGGTCAAGATGTTGCCACGTTGACGGCAAATATTAACCCTTAAAGGGAGGCATAAGGTGCTATTTCAAGAAGCACGATTTTACTAAATCTTGCAGTTTATCAAAATAGAACCGGCCCAATTGGACAGGTCCAACTGGCCAAGAATGAAAGTGAGGCAACCCAAAAACTTTAATAACCTCCACGTTACTGAACTAATTCTTGGCCTCTATTAAATTGGAGAGTTATCTCATGGTTTCATTTGCTCTCACAACCTGTAAAAAGAAAAAGGATTGAGTTAGTGCAATTTTGCAAATAATAATGCTTAGATTTTCAAAATATCACTTCTTCAAGTGATGTTCAAAATCTTCAAGTAGTTCTTGAATTTATTTAGAGGCAGTACCTTAGTTCCCAGATCAGAAGGATTGAATTGTGTAGGAATTTTGACCAACTTGATCAGACCTTTTTCAACGAGATTTCGTACAAAATGAAATTTTATATCTACATGTTTGGTCCTATCATGATATACTGAATTTTTACTAAGGTGAATTGCACTTTGATTATCTGTGTAAATAACAACAGAATCATTTTGAAAACCAATTTCATTCAACAGACCTTTTAACCAGACACTTTCTTTTACTGCATCACAGGCAACAATATATTTAGCTTCAGTTGAAGACAATGCAACTAATTTTTGAAGCTGAGACTTCCAGCTGATGCAACCATCACACAAAGTAAAGATGTAAGCAGAAGTATACCTTCTTTTATCTAAGTCACCAGCAATGTCAGAATCTATGTACCCCTTTAATATTATCCCCTCATTACTTCTTTTGAACATTAA